TGCTGCCCCTGCTTTTTTAAACTGTATTGAAATCTGTCATAATTCACACACATAGACATTATACAATGTGTCAACAATTTTTGTAATGAATGTAGTCCTTAATATTTTTTAGTATGTGATTTTCATTAAAGAATTTCATAAAATTAAATCATGTTAAAAAAAAAAGCATATAAGCCAAAGAGAGCACAGAAAGTGGGTCTAAGCTGGGGTGTGTTTTTGGGAGATTGATAATCCTGACCTTTTAACAAAAACATATGCTCCCATACCAACTATTACTCATTATTTAAAATATGCAGTTCACTGTTTCGTTAGTCATTTATTTGTTTATTACAAAGCAGCAAAATCCTCCATTTTCTTCTTCACCTGCATTCCAAAAGCTAGGCTGCAGTCTAGATGCATTGCATTTCTAGCCTGCTACATTATCAAAGACTGTTCCATCCAGAAGGACCCTTCAAATACAGCCAAAAAATGCGGCCTAAACTCTGACAATTTTGGAGGATGGTACCGGAGTATCCTTCTCGGTCTTCTGTCTCCCATAAACTTTTGTGCACACATCTGACGCAACAAACAAATGAATGTTTTGCCTGACCCATTATATTGTTTGCATCAATTATTTGCTTGCCAGCTTATTATCATTCACATCAACAGTATGTTGTCCCTAAGATTTGCTAGGAAGTTCCTTTTGTACTATGTATAAAGCCCTCCACAAATATTTGCACCGCTGGCAAACATGAGCAGTAAACATTTTTGATTATCTTTTTAATCTGGGATTCAAAATATTAACAAAAATCTAACCTTTATTTGAAGTACAATGATTGACAGGTAAAACCTTGATTCTGTGGTCACCATGAACCATTTTTGTGTTGATTTTAAGGTTTTGGTTTATTGTCATCCTGAAAGATCCAACTATGGTCCTGTTTTTGTTTCCTAGCTGAGGTAGTCAGATTTTTATTTAATATCTGCTGGTACATGATGGAGTCCATGATACCATGTATCTGAACAAGTTGTCCAGGGCCTTTGGAAGAAAAACAGCCCCACAATACTTTTCTGCTATCTTTGTTTCTACACCAAACTCATATCTGGTGTTTGTTGCCAAAAAGCTCTGTTTTGGTTTCATCTGACTACAGAATGCCAGTTCCAGTAATGTCTGGAAAACTGTTGGTGCTTGAGTTTGTTGTGGTTATGTATGTAGTGTCTGATTGTAGTTTGGGAGACATTCTGACGCCAAGACCTAACTTATGTCTGCAATTTCCCAGCTTCTAGATTCTTTTGCCACTTGAACCAACCTCCTCACTGTGAGCGGGATCAATGACATATGTCCTTTTCCCAGCAGATTTTTAACATTCTGCAGCTGCTTCTTAATGATTGCCCAGACAGTGGAAATTGGCATTTTCAACTGTTTAGCCATTTTCTTGTGGTCATTTCCTGATTTGTACAGCAAATTTGGCCTGTGTGTCACCTCATATTTATTTCCCAATCAAAGGGAAAATCATGGCTGACCTTTTAAGTGCCCCTAATCGCTCAGGTGAACGTTAAAACAAAATTTCAAAGGGAATATGCTTCAGTTAGATTTCATTCAAGAAAATTTTTAGGGGTGCCAACAATTGCGACATGCATAGATTTGAAAAAAAAACAAAAAAACATTTATTTAATGGTAAGATTTTGTTTTGTTCTTTCGTGCTTTAAATAAAGGTTAGAATTGTGTTAATATTTTAAATAAAAGATCAAAAGGATAAGCAATAAAGAATGTTTTTTACAACCTGTTTTGCTCATGTTTAACAGGGGTGCCAATATTTGTGGAGGGCACTGTATTACAAATGTGGCACCTTCACAGTGCAGTGCTACCAATTACCTAAAAATTTCTTGGTTGAAGCCTAGCTTTTGGAACACAGCTCTTGTCAGTCCTTCTGGTTCCATGGCAGGGCATGTGATGTCATTACAGGCAGGCAGTGCAGGTAGGTAAAGAGTGCATGTCTGCAGCCAGACCTATCTTTGCTTTTTGCAATTCTTCTTTGCCTTTCAAGCACTGTATTAATAATAATAACTTTTATTTATAGAGCACTTCTCATACATCATCAGGTGGCAGCCCAAAGTGCTTTTCAGACAGGTGTTAAAGCACAACAGTAATAGAAGAAATTATGAGCATTCAATTAATATCATATAAGGCAGACAGATCAAATTAAAAAGATAAATCCCAAAAATAGATAGAATTATAATTAAACACTAAATCAAAGTGATACGCTTTAAAATGTTTCTTAAAAAAGTGCACTGAGCTTGACTGTCTAATAAGACGTGGAATTTATTAGAAGCTTAATAAACGAAAAAGGCCTCCCCACATTTTCTTTTGTATTTTACAGAAGGTATTTGCAGAAGACCACTATCTGCAAGATCTAAACATCTATAACATAAATTATAGGCTCAAGTATGGTAACATAAGCCACATTCTGAGGGGACAGTCTGAATCTCCAAACTTCCCAGGGTTATTTTTTTCCTTATTCAAAGTCACTCCAAAGCCTAGATGGCCTGATAATGTGGCTGTCATGTCTGCATCCAGGCCATTTGTTTACACAGTTAATGATAATAAAGCATCACACACCATCTGAGCACTGATGGAATGATAAACTTTCCTGTTGGTTTACTCATAATCATGACCCTTGTCTTGCTTCTAAAATGTGTGCCATGCATAACAGCATATTGCAGATTGCATAAGATAGAAAATGTAATCGTGTTTCAGATGAAAGCAAAGCATTGAAGGTTTTTTCCATGGCAACTGTAAGTGTTCAACTTTGAATCCCCCTTTTTATAGTAGAAGACTGTAATTTTACCCATTATTCTTCATAATTACTGAAAACCAGGAGTTATAACTGTACTGAAATATTGAAATGAATTGCAAAGACAATTTATAACAACATAAACTCAGATTAGTAAATTATAATTTGCCCTTTTTTGCCATTATTTTGGCTGTTCGTAATAACCACATGATGGAATGTGACGTTTTCCTAAAGAGTTTATCAGTGCTTTATTCGAGGGACTTCTAGAGCTGTGATGATGTGCGCATCAGTGACAGGTCAGACTTAATGGGGGAAAATCTTCTCAAGCATCCACAAGTTTTTATTTCCAGGCTACGCCTCACCTCACTGAAACAGATCTTGAAAAAAGGCCATTCAATTAATGTACACACTGACGAAGAGGGCACTTAGGGCAAAAGGGCAGCGCTCAAGCCCCGTCAGAGTGTATCTGTGTACATGCCCAGCTGGGAATTGAACATAAGTGTTTATATGTCTACATAATAACAGTGAGGCTGGGTCATTCTACAGAAATGTCCACTTTTTAATCTATCCATACGAGTCACAGGTGTTACTGATCATCATTGGTTTTACACATAAGAAAGGTAACACCAGAGACAGTAACACCAGTGACATTTTTAATGAAAAATGCATTTTACAAAATGGCTGCTGTACAGAGCATCAAACCACATGTTGTCAATCATGGAATATCTACAAAAATATGTAATTTAATCCATTTGTATTCTATTTTTTACAATTACCTAACAATAAAGTAGGTCATACCAGTGACTTCAGCTGAAAGCTTCATCTGAAATCATTAGCCAAATGAGAAAATTGAAAAAGACAGTGGACATACCATGTGCTTTTCTTCACAGATTCTCAGAAAATAGGTAAAAGGAAGTCAAGTGATGTCATCAGTGTGATTTTTATTTCAAAATAAGAGATTCTTTGTTATGCAGTAATACCAGTGACATGACTCCTGGGGGCCACAACTTTCATTATATATTTTCTTTGTATATATTTGGCATTTGTTTTCTATATGTCATTTAAATTATATATTGCATAGTCATGTTTAGATTATTGTAGTTAAAATTGCAGAAAAACATGTTTTTTTACCTCAAAATATGGCACTCGCCCTTTACACATGACTGCGAGGACGAGCACTTCCGTGGTGCCTGGAATTCTATACAATTGGCCAATATTGCTGAATTGATGGCTCAAGAAGGTGTAACTTTTAAAATAACATTGTTTTATTTTAAAATATAAATAAATTGTAACCCGAACATGTTTTTCAAGTGTAATATATCTGTAAACGCTAGGGACATAAAAATAGACGTTTCCATAAAATGACTCAGCTACTCTTATCACTCTGCACATAGCTGGCTTGTACTCTTGAGTCACCAGCTCTGTTTTAGAATGACCCTGTAGCAAAATATGTCAATAACAGACACACTTGTAAACTAGGACTGAGAGCTACGATGCCGTCTGTGTTGTAAACCTTTGGGTATTAGTTCTTCTGTATCCCCAATTGGTGAAAAAGGAAGCACAAATAAAAATCAAAGTTGTCAAACTTATCAAAATCTCAAACTCTTTACTGCTGTGAACTTTACAGTAAACATTGCACCTATGGTAGGTATAGTAGGTGTTAAGGTGTAAGTTTTAAGTTTCAATTTAAAGCTATGTTGCTTGGTGCAACCATTTAAATTTGAATAGTTCTTAAACGTGAACGTAAGGGCAGTTTACATCTAAGCTAAGCTACAATCAAACTTATTCAGTTGTATTGACCCATAAAGAAACACTCAATCTCCCTGTCTCTCCTGCACATCAGCACCAGCCTGTTATTAGTATAAGAAACGGCTGAGCAGGAAACTGTGTTTATCTAGAATAAAGAGCCAGACGGACTCGGAGGAAACTTTGTCTGTTTTGTTGAAGGAGAATCGCAGGCAGGGTCGTCTACACGGCTATCGGGGGCTACATCTCCGCGCCATTCAAAGAGGGCATGAAGTTTCACAGACAATGAGAATGATAATCGAAATGATCGATCCACAAAGAGACAGGAGTGTAAGGAAATCCGGCGCGCTCTGCGTCCTCACCGTCGCCAGTACAGCAACCGAGACCCCATGGCAGCCCCTTACAGTTAGCACTTAATCCTCGAAATATCGAAAATATTACGACTTTATTCTCAAAGTCTCCTATTTTTATTTTTATTAACAGCGGCCCTAAACACGGTCATAGTTCTGTGTACTCAGCAACGTTACTGTGCCGTTTACTCTAAAGCCCACCTGCCCCTGACGTCACGTGAGGGGCGTTCCTGGGGAGACGTGTCTGCATCACAGAAACTCCCTCATATGGTGCGGCAATTCGACCCTCCTCCCTTATTCGCGGCTTCTCTTTTAGCGAATGACGGTAAAACAAAGGGGATGCTCACAAACGCTTCCCATTTTAAAAGACTTAGAGAGACTAATGATGGAGACATACTAATAAAGGAGTTAGGAATGGGTACTGTGTTTGTCTTACCATTGTGAACATGAAGATTATGACTATAAAGGAATAAAATATTTAATTCTGTAAATATATGATGTTCCTTCAATTCATTTCCAATGTTTTTTCATTGCAAGTTTAAAGTATGAGACTGGAGAAAAAAATAAGGGTAAGTTTATGCATTAGATTTAAAGCTAATCCAAATCTAAATTTAATGTGATTAAATTGAATAGTTTTTTTCCAATTGCAGATGTACCTGGCAGTATGGGACAATGAGTAAATGTGCGTAAAAGGAAATAGACAAGAAACAAGAAATTTCAGAGGGGAGTATTTGCATGGAATAAAACCAATGACAGATTCGAAACAGAGAAAAAAAAACTGTCTCTGTAAGGAAAAACTGGTTTTAGCCTGGCCCAAGCTGATTTAATACATTAAAATACCTGGCAACATGCAGTAATGCACACAATGAAATGAAGCTGAAATTCCAGGTGGATACTGAAGGTATTATTCACTTCGGGCCAGGATAATTCCATATCATACATAGAGATCTAGTCTCCCCCTGTAAGGAAAACCTGGTTTTAGCCTGGCCCAAGCTGATTTAATACATTAAAATACCTGGCAACACAGCACATTATGCAGTAATGCACACAAAGAAATGAATTGGAAGCTGAAATTCCAGGTGGATACTGAAGGTATTATTCACTTCGGGCCAGGGTAATTACATATCGCAGACAGAGATCCAGTCTCCCCCTGTAAAGAAAACCTGGTTTTAGCCTGGCCCAAGCTGATTTAATATATTAAAATACCTGGCAACATAGATCATAGAGCAGGAATGCACACAATAAAATGAATAGGAAGCTAAAATTCCAGATGGATACTGAAGGCCTTATTCACTTCAGCTTGGGCCAGGCTAAAACCAGGTTTTCCTTACAGGGGGAGACTGGATCTCTATGTATGATATGGAATTATCCTGGCCTGAAGTGAATAATACCTTCAGTATCCACCTGGAATTTCAGCTTCCTATTCATTTCTTTGTGTGCATTACTGCATGTTACCAGGTATTTTAATGTACTAAATCAGCTTGGGCCAGGCTAAAACCAGGTTTTCCTTACAGGAGGAGACTGGATTTCTATGTAGGATATGTAACTATCCTGGCCTGAAGTGAATAAGGCCTTCAGTATCCATCTGGAATTTCAGCTTCCTATTCATTTCATTGTGTGCATTACTGCTCTATGAGCTATGTTGCCAGGTATTTTAATGTATTAAATCAGCTTGGGCCAGGCTAAAACCAGGTTTTCCTTATAGGTGGAGACTGGATCTCTATGCAGGATATGTAACTGTCCTGGCCCAAAGTGAATAATACCTTCAGTATCCACCTGGAATTTCAGCTTCCTATTCATTTCTTTGTGTGCATTACTGCATGTTACCAGGTATTTTAATGTATTAAGTCAGCTTGGGCCAGGCTAAAATCAGGTTTTCCTTACAGGGGGAGACTGGATCTCTATGTACGATATGGAATTATCCTGGCCTGAAGTGAATAATACCTTCAGTATCCATCTGGAATTTCAGCTTCCTATTCATTTCATTGTGTGCATTACTGCTCTATGAGCTATGTTGCCAGGTATTTTAATGTATTAAATCAGCTTGGGCCAGTCTAAAACCAGGTTTTCCTTACAGGGGAAGACTCGATCTCTATCTACGTTATGCAATTATCCTGGCCCGAAGTGAATAAGGCCTTCAGTACCACCTGGAATTTCAGCTTCCTATTCATTTCATTTTGTGCATTACTGCATAGTGTGCCATGTTGCCAGGTATTTTAATGTATTAAATCAGCTTGGGCCAGGTTAAAACCAGGTTTTCCTTACAGGGGGAGACTGGATCTCTATGTTGGATATGGAATTATTCTGGCCCAAAGTGAATAATACCTTCAGTATCCACCTGGAATTTCAGCTTCCTATTCATTTCATTTTGTGCATTACTGCTCTATGAGCTATGTTACCAGGTATTTTAATGTATTAATTAGCTTGTGCCAGGCTAAAACCAGGTTTTCCTTAAAGGGGGAGACTGGATCTCTATGTATGATATGGAATTATCCTGGCCTGAAGTGAATAATACCTTCAGTATGCACCTGGAATTTCAGCTTCCTATTCATTTCATTGTGTGCATTACCGCATGTTGCCAGGTATTTTAATGTATTAAATCAGCTTGGGCCAGGCTAAAACCAGGTTTTCCTTACAGGGGGAGATTGGATCTCTGTCTGCGATACGTAATTATCCTGGCCCAAAGTGAATAATACCTTCAGTATCCACCTGGAACTTCAGCTTCCTATTCATTTCATTGTGTGCATTACTGCATGTTGCCAGGTATTTTAATGTATTAAATCAGCTTGGGCCAGGCTAAAACCAGGTTTTCCTTACAGGGGGAGTCTGGACCTCTACTAGCCTGGCCCAAGCTGATTTAATACATTAAAATACCTGGCAACATGGCACATTATGCAGTAATGCACACAATGAAATGAATAGGAAGCTGAAATTCCAGGTGGATACTGAAGGTATTATTCACTTCGGGCCAGGATAATTACATATCCTACACATAGAGGTCCAGTTTCTCCCTGTAAGGAAAACCTGGTTTTAGCCTGGCACAAGCTGATTTAATACATTAAAATACCTGGCAACATGCAGTAATGCACAAAATGAAATGAATAGGAAGCTGAAATTCCAGGTGGCTACTGAAGGTATTATTCACTTCAGGCCAGGACAATTTTATACCATATATAGAGATCCAGTCTCCCCCTGTAAGGAAAACCTGGTTTTAGCCTGGCCCAAGCTGATTTAGTACATTAAAATACCTGGCAACATGGCACATTATGTAGTAATGCACACAATGAATCGGAAGCTGAAATTCCAGGTGGATACTGAAGACCTTATTCACTTCGGGCCAGGATAATTACATATCCTAGATAGAGATGCAGTCTCCCACTGTAAGGAAAACCTGGTTTTAGCCTGGCCCAAGCTGATTTAATAAAATAAAATACCTGGTAATTTGTTTCCAGAGCAATATTCCACACGGGAAAATAAACAGGAAGCTGAAATTCTATATAGGCTTTGTTAGTTCTAATGTCTATGGGCCAATAAAATGCTGGTATTTTGAGCCACAGTCTCTGTAGATTAGTAAAAGAAAAAAATTCTAGATAGACTGTGAAGGCATTGATGATAATGAGCTAGCGCCAACTCACAACATGGCATACTGAGTGACTGTCTTTGATGATCGTTTCACTTTATCTGGGAGAAATACTTGTAGTGGAAGCAAGCCATTATGAGCCACTCTGAAAAGTGTATGCTATTGGCCCATCATGAATATAGAGGGGAAAAGATTTAAAGCAATACAAAAATTGGAGGCACGTTTTTACTATTAATTTTTTGTGTCTATTTATTTTTATGTGTTTTGTGTTTATGTAGTTTACCTACAATTCTCTTAAAATAGAAACATTACAATACTAGCACAAAAAATTCTTCCTCCACATCACAGAAAGCATCCTAAACCAATGCTTTTAATAAGAGTAATTTTGTTTTCTTGTATTCCTTTTCTACTCAGAAAATGTTTACTTTTCTTTGTTTTTGTAAAAAGCCATATAAGGCTTTAGCACCCATTTTTTTAAGTTCTTTACTTTTCAGTTATTTAAGAACCATAAACTACAAATTACTTATTTTTACTCATATTATACAGTTTATCATCTGGCAGACAATTTTTATACAAAGGTAGTTACGCCAGCACGGAAAAAAAACAGCCTTTAGATGCCACGCATGCCATAACAACATGACTTGTAACCTATATAACCTTTCAAACAATAAACAATGGTACAACCAAAAACCTCCTGACACTCATATATGTGCACTTATACTATGCGCGACAGCTATGTTATGAAAAATCAAAACCAAAGGGTGTCGCTGTTCGTTTTTTTTTCCTTTGCGTTACTACACACCGTTTTTTTCCCCAAAGCATTGATTTGAGAATATCTGACTTGTATCAAAGCCAAGTTACTGCCAGCATAATATTCTGTATTATGCACTGTGCATATCAACACAGTCCACAACCAGAACCACTCTTCCAGTTGCAGATATGCTTAGCTCTGACCAGAGCACTCCAACAATCCAGCACTGGCTAGCCTGTTTGGGCAGAGATTTTTTCAATGGATTTAAGATTCAGCTGCAACCACAAAAGGTGGAAATTCATTTTAGTTAGGCCATGATACATGCAGTTACACAGGTTTTCAACAAATGCAACATTCAAGATTACTTAAGAAGGTGCTTCTTAGTTTGCCGGCAGAAAGAGCAGTGCGACTTCACAGTAATCCATATATGCTCTGCTCACATGATGAAACTCATGTCTGTAAAGATTGCCAAGGTTAAGGCAAAGAAATCAATAAAGGATCTATTCCTCTACTCCTTTGGTCTTCTGTTAAATACAGCCTCACTGACCCAAATGAAGATTCTTTTCAGAAGAATTGTGTGTGTTTTCATGGCAAAAAAGGAGACAAATGATTGCAAGCAGAGTTTAAGAGCTCTGAAGAAAGTCATTGACATCCAATCAACAGACTTGCTGGGTACTAGTGAGGTGGACACTTGCCCTGATGCACAATCACATGAGCAAGTTGAGTTGGGGGTAAAGAAAAGCTCACCTTTTGCAGATGTTTTGGCCAGCGTTTTTCAGCATGCACATGAGAGATCGAAGTTTGAAGCTGATGACGATGATGGAACATGTACTGAAAATTCAAACTTCTGCCCTGAGCTGGTGGATTTGTTGGAACTTTACATGGGCAGCATACCCCTTTGGTCAGGAGTGATGTTAAAACAATTTAACAAAACTCAGGATACAAATGCTCCAGTAGAAAAATGGTTCCGAACAACAAAACAATTTTTCTAAGAAACCAGCTACACCACCGACTTGGAGATTTCTTACAGATAATGCGTGAGTTTGTTGCGGGTAGAGTACAGGGGATGACACTGATGAGTCCTAAAAGACAAAAGAAAATCAGCAGATCAGAAATGAAAGGACTGAAGGACACCACTATGACTGAAGAAGATCACTCCCAACAAGAGCCTTTCATTCAAGAAGAAAAATGGCAAAAGAGATTGCCCAGGAAAAAGCCAAAATACTTTACTGCTCCACTGTCAAAAACTGCAACTGAGACAAATAAAAATTGCCCTCCTTGGTCAGGGAGAGGTAGATTTGATAATAAGACAATTCAGTTGACCAATACATGCACAGTGGATAACCTCT